CGTAACTTTCCGGCTGGTGGTTGGGAGATGTTATTGCTTTGACTGAACGTTTCCTTGTACGACATGAAATCTGCAGTGTCCTGGTTTCATCATGGGGCAGGTAAACACACAATCCCATTTTCAGTGTCCAGGATAAGTCACTATCCAGTTTATGGGAAACAGGGACTAATACAGGACTAAACCAGGACTAATACAGGGACTAATACAGGACTAAACCAGGACTAAACCAGGACTAAACCAGGACTGAACCAGGACTAAACCAAGACTAAACCAGGACTGAACCAGGACTAAAACAGGACTACACCAGGACTCAAACCAGGACTAAACCAAGACTAAACCAGGACTGAACCAGGACTCAACCAGGACTCAACCAGGACTAAACCAGGACTAAACCAGGACTCAACCAGGACTCAACCAGGACTCAACCAGGACTAAACCAGGACTAAACCAGGACTAAACCAGGACTAAACCAGACCTAAAACCAAGACTAAACCAAGACTAAACCAGGACTAAACCAGGACTAAACCAGGACTCAACCAGGACTAAAACAGGACTAACAGGACTCAACCAGGACTAAAACAGGACTACACCAGGACTAAACCAGGACTAACTACAGGACTCAACCAGGACTAAACCAGGACTGAACCAAGACTAAACCAGGACTGAACCAGGACTAAACCAGGACTAAACCAAGACTAAACCAGGACTGAACCAAGACTAAACCAGGACTAAACCAGGACTGAACCAGGACTGAACCAGGACTAAACCAAGACTAAACCAGGACTAAACCAAGACTAAACCAGGACTGAACCAGGACTAAACCAGGACTAAACCAAGACTAAACCAGGACTGAACCAGGACTAAACCAGGACTAAACCAAGACTAAACCAGGACTGAACCAGGACTAAACCAAGACTAAACCAGGACTGAACCAGGACTAAACCAAGACTAAACCAGGACTGAAACCAGGACTAAACCAGGACTACACCAGGACTAAACCAGGACTAAACCAGGACTACACCAGGACTAAACCAGGACTAAACCAGGACTACACCAGGACTAAACCAGGACTACACCAGGACTACACCAGGACTACACCAGGACTAAACCAGGACTAAACCAGGACTAAACCAGGACTGACGTAGCATCTGCAGTGAGTGGAAATGAAGATAACCATGGAGCTAAGTCATCGATCTGATCTGTGTATGTATCTATTGTAAAACTATTGTATAACTACTGTAAAACTACCAAAAGTGACAAATCTGATCAACAACTAAAAGGTTATAAAATTGATTTCTAAGTACAGTCGTCCAACACTTCTTCCACTGAGCGCTGACTTCAAATTCAAACACAACTCTGAATACATTTTGGCTCTACATTGTACCAAAATATAAAACTACCCCCTGGTCTTCTATAGTCAAATGAACCCGAGTTGTGTTCTCAAACCTTTGTTAATCAGATGATAATTCCATGCTAATACTATGTGTCCATGTCCATTGAAGTCAAGAGAAGCAGCAGTCGTATGAATTCAAACAAGTTCTGAGGTGCTCTCCCTTTTACAACATTCAAAAAGGAAATATTCATGAATGAGGGTCTTTATTCTTCTTTCTCTTTTTATCAGTAATCTTGTAAAATTCATTACTATTTGCCATGTAACTCCAATAAGTTTGTGTATTCAAAATTAAATACATTTACTTCATTTGGCTTCGGGTCAGTGGACGTTTTCACATTTTTAAACTGCTCTAACCTTTTTAAACGCATGAATATTTGAAATTAATTTGAAGTTGTGGAAAAAAAACAAAAAAACAACTGTAAATTGATTTTCAGGCCTGCCCGAGTGAAGTAAAACTGGGTCAGACTCCTCGCCCACGGGTTGTGTGATTTTAAACATATTCCCTTCTTTTCATGAATATTTTGACTTTCAAATGTTTACTTTTCGCATTTGTTAAGATGGAAGCACAGCTGGAGGCGGCATCGAAAAATAAGACATGGACAGGGTCTTATTAAACAGAGCATTTGTAAAAAAAAATAAAATAAAATAAATAAAAAAAAATAAATAAAACATAAAAAACATGACAAAAAATACATAAAATAATAATAATAATAATAATAATAATAATAATTGCTGTTTTATACAATTGCAATTTCATTTGACAACAAAATGGTGTACACGATCATATTTCAAGTCTTGTTTTTTGTTATTCCATGTCATGCTTGGATGTTATGTTAAAGAATCTGTGTATCATTCATTCATTTGTTTTTCAAAATAAAATCAAAAATAAGAAAATCAAAAAATATTATTATTTGTCTCTAAAACCAAAATGAAAAACGGATAATGATTTGTGTTTCCAGTTTTTCATTTTGTGTTTGAATGAATAATGGAAAAAAAAAAAAAAAAAAACCTGACTGAACCAGGACTAAAACAGGACTAAACTAGGACTGAACCAGGAAAAAAACAAAAAAAACTGACTGAACCAGGACTAAAAGAGGACTAAACTAGGACTAAACCAGGACTAAAGTAGGACTGAACCAGGAAAAAAACAGGACTAAACCAGGACTGAAACGAGATTAAAACAGGACTAAACCAGGACTGAACCAGGACTAAACTTGGACTAAACCAGGACTGAACCAGGACTAATACAGGACTACACTAGGACTAAACCAGGACTGAACCAGGACTAAACTTGGACTAAACCAGGACTGAACCAGGCCTGAGTGTCAGGATGCGCCTGCGCACACTGTCAGGTGAGCAGAACTGAGACCCGGACCAAACTGGGACCAGACCACAACTGAGACCAAGACTGAGACCGGTTTAGTCCTGGTTCAGTCCATATGCAACGCAAAAGTCCGGCATCGCAGTTTAAGTCACAGAAATGGGATGGCTGTTATCTTTTTTTTTTTTTTTTTTTTTTTTTTCATTATTCATTTAAACACTAAATTGAAAACTGAATAACAAATCATTATCTGTTTTTTCATTCTGACTTTGGAGACAAATAATGAAGAAAATAATTGTTTTTTCATTTTCTTTTTTCGTTTTATTTTGAAAAACAAATGAACAACACTTTATTCTGATCTATGTTAGAATGTTATTTCCTCTTCAAAAACAGATCTGGAGTTGTGTTTTGTTTCATTCACACAAAACCTGCATATTTAGGCTGAGTTCTTCTCTTACACAGAAAACCCTCATGTGGTAATACAGGAAGTGCTCCACTGTGTTTTTAAACTTCATAGTAGAATCAATAGAATCATTTGGATCTTTTCAACCCTGGAACTTCCGATCTTTACTGATCTAAAGGTAAAACTACCGCTTCATGACATCAGAAGGACGACCAGCGCATTCTGAGTTGTTGAGATGTAAACAGACTGATAATGCAGGATTATTCAAACATGTGTGAATGAAACAAAACAACTCTGGGTATGTTTTTGAGGAGCATTTTAACATGACTAAGAGCTTACAGGAGTCAATTTTGTGTAATATAGGACCTTTAACCCTCTCCAGGCAGGTGTTGCAGATTTTGCAACAGCTAAATTCCAGTTACCTACTTACTCCACATTCATACTCAGGAGCCTTTTCTCCCATCCATGCTGATAAACGTGGACGATGCAGACTGTGCAAGAATGGCTCCACGCAAACGGCCTGCCAGAAGTACAAAGTACTTTTTTTGTTCACAAAGGATAAAAAAGTCAGGATTGTATATTACTACCCCATAATATAATTTTCCCCAAATATCAGATTTTTCCTGATACTAAAAATGTATTTGAGCCTGAGAGGGTTAATGCTACTGGCCCCTGTTCTGAGCCAGATTTCTCCATTAGGACATGAAATAAGGGTCTGGTTAAGTGGTAACGGAGGGAAACAGGGGCACATTTTTACATTCAAATGTCTCTTATTCAGAAACTAGAGGGACTATTGAAATAAGTAAAGTATCAGAATGTAGGAAAGAGTTACACTCCAACAGGGTAAAGTTAAACCTGTGATATTCTTTCAAGTTGTTGACAAAAAATTAAAAAACTCATGTCGGTAGGTAACGGAGGGAATGAAATATGCAGCACTTTTTGAGCAATAAATACAATCAGTGATAACTCTTGGTTCTCACTTACATATCCTTAACAAACTGGTTTGAATATTTGCTTCATGTAGTTTTCTACCATATGGGACAAGATTAGGTTGAAAAACCTAATTTTTTATTAAAAAAGGTCATGGTAACGGAGGGAAAAGTAACGAAGGGAAAATTGTGCAAACAAGTAGAAGGTGCAGGATTTTGCATAATTTGTCAACTTTTTCTTCTGAATACTTTAATAATACTTCAAAATGAAAGGAAACTATTTCTATAAAATATGTCAGTCCTTCCAAGCTAATTTTTATCATTTTATATAAATTTTTTTGAAAAATCATGTACCTTCATCAACAGTTCAAAGATGGAATAACACAAGATATGATGAAATACATCAATTTATTGACAGGATTTGCAGGTCTTTGAAATGTGTGGGAAATAATTTTTTGTTCCATGTTTCATACATGGTCTGTTTAAAACATATGGAACTTTAGAACCAAAAATGGTACAGAAAAAAGGTCAACAGTTTCATAAACTAGAGTACATATGTATCTGTTCAATACATTTTTATATCAGATGCATTAATTTCAATTTTTGGCCTTGTGTTTACTTCTGCTTGACCGGGCCCATAAACAAAACCTGAAGTATACTCACTATCTATTTTTCTCAGTGAGTTTTGAAACAATTTTGGGTTATCCACTCAAAAGCCAGATTAATTTAGAGATACATCAAGTAGGCCATTTGTCTTGTCGTATCTTGTTATATTAAAAAGAGTTTGATGTTGATGTTTGATCACTGTTGAAATGGCAATAAAAAACAACCAAACTCCACTGTAATAAATTAAGTTTAGGTAACACATAACGTCTTTTCAGAGCAATGAAAATGATACTGTAGCTCTTCAAAATGAAGTGTTTGCCGGTTCTAATTCAAATTCTGTCTTTGCAGATGACAATCAGGCTGGCAGTGACACTAAGCTGACAGTGGAGGACCTGTTCAAACCGGAGTTCAAAGTTCACGACCCCGAGGCCAAATGGATCAATGGTGAGTGCCCTAACACATCAGCTTCTGTGGCTTATCCTAATACTGGCTTAAGCGTGGATTGACTCCTCACCATGGAAAGTCTTGTGGCAATTCTGAACATAGAAGCTACTGTGAGATTGAGTTAAATATCCCAAAGTCTAAACTGCTGTGATTACCTTCCTGTAAGTAGCATTAGGAATTTGAAGTTTACGTTTGACCCTCAGAGGCCACTGTTCCTTTTGTTTGGATTCTTAAAGGTCCTATATTATGAAAACTTGACGTTTAACAATCCGTGTATCATTCTTTCATTAGTTTTTCAATATAAAACCAAAAATAAGAAAATGAAAAAATATCATTTTTTTATTTGTCTCAAAAACTAAAATGAAAAAAACGGATACGATTTGGTTTTCCAGTTTTTGATTTGTTGTTTAAATGAATAATGGAAAAAAACAGATAACGGCTGCTTCCAGTTTCTGTGAATTAAACTCCGATGCCGGACTGAACCAGGACTAAACCAAGACTAAAACAGGATCAAACCAGGATTAAAACAGGACTGATCCCAGGACTGAACCAGGACTAAACCAGAACTGAACCAGGACTAAACCAGGACTGAACCAGGACTGAACCAGGACTGAACCAAGTCTAAAACAGGATCAAACCAGGATTAAAACAGGACTGATCCCAGGACTGAACCAGGACTAAACCAAGACTAAAACAGGATCAAACCAGGATTAAAACAGGACTGATCCCAGGACTGAACCAGGACTAAACCAGGACTGAACCAGGACTAAACCAGGACTAAACCAGGACTGAACCAGGACTGAACCAGGACTGAACCAGGACTGAGACCAGGGCTGAAACTGGGACCAGACTGGGACTGAGACTGGGACCAGACCAGGACCAGACTGGGACTGAGGCCAGGACTGAGACGGGTTTAGTCCTGTTTTAGTCCTGGTTCAGTCCAGCATCAGTTTACGTCACATAAACTGGAAACGGCCGTTATCCATATTTTGCATTATTCATTTAAACACGAAATCAAAAACTGAAAAAAAGTAATCATTATCCATTTTTCATTTTGGTTTTAGAGACAAATAATGAAGAAAATTGTTGTTTTTTCATTTTCTTATTTTTTGTGTGTGTATTTTGAAAAACAAATGAACTAATGATCCATGGATTTTTAAGCCATGTTAGAATGTTGTTCTCATCACCTCATCAAAAACATACCGAGTTGTGTTTAGTTTCATTCACACATTTGAGTAACTTTATTTACTATCTTTATTATTAGTCCGTCTACATCTCCAAAGCTCAAAATGCTCTGTTCCACCTTGTGATGTCATGAAGCTGTAGTTTTTAAGTTTTCAAGCTACCTTTTACCTTTTGATTTAGTAGAGATTAGAAATTCCAGAGTTTATTCTAAAGATTCTAGTGAAGGTGTATGATGTACACAGTGGAGCACTTCCTGTGTTACCACATGACATCACAGGGTGGAAGAGCGTGTTTTCTGTTAGAGAGAAGAACTCAACCGAAATATGAAGACTTTGTGTGTTAAATTTGTGAATGAAACAAAACACAGCTCGATATATTTTTGAAACACAGTGTGATGTGGGGCCTTTAATGTTTGCTTGAATGGATTTTTGACCTTGCCAGCTCCCGTACGTTGAATTTAAACGCTGAAAAATGCTTTCGTAGTTTGCTGCGTTGATAATTTGTTGACGCCGTGTGATGCAAACATGTTTTGTCTGTCCCAAGGTTGTTCGAAGCATCCATGAATTTCTTGAATAGTCATTTGACGATACATCTAATTACATTGCAAATATTAAGTATGATTGACACCTTGCTGCTGCTGCTGTTGTTTCTCTCTGGGTTTAAATGTGCATTGCTAAAGAGCTTTCTGCTACTGTTGCTAATGAAGCTTGATTTATTTCCAAATGCATCCACTTCTTGACTCAATGCACTGTTAACCAAGTGTGACGTTGTTAGCATGAAGATCTGGATAGCAGTGATTTGATTGACAGTTTGAACCCTGAGATCACCATGCTTTGGGACTCTACTTGATGATTCTTAGCACTTTTATTTTCTACTTAACATGGAAGAGACGGGAGTTATATTTTATTGAGTACAGCTGTCAGACCTGTGATGGTTGCAGACAAGGTTGCCCTCTCTCACCTTATATATTTATATAGCGGTTCAATTTGTCCTAGAAAATGTGAATATAATGAACTAGTTCTGTCATATGAGTGAAAAAGCGCACTGAACGTTGAATTTAAATGTTAAAGACCATATATTCTGCATTCTTGTGGCTTTAATTTCCTTTAAAACATGCTTTTGGTCACCTTGGGATAAGCATTTCACATTTTCTACTTAACTTAAAATAATGTCTGCATTTGGAAAATATATGAATATGAACTTCACCTCCATTTCCAGTGAGGCATTTAGGCTACGTTTATATGACGACGGTCTGAAAAGAAGACGCAAAAGTGGCATAGCATCTTCATTTATTACTCCGTGTTTCAGTGACGCAAAAGTGTGTGGAATTCGATTGGTTATGCATGCCAGGCGGTTCGGTGGTGACGTATGTGACGTAAAAGCGTATGCGACGTGAGCAGATCTGACCAGAGTTTTGGGTCTTGGGCAGTGTAGATGGAAACGCTACGGTGGAGCGTATTCAACTTTTCCACTCTGAAGGGTGGTTTGAGATTTTTGTGTTTTTAAGCCCCAAAAACGCCGTCACCGTCTAAATGAAAGGCACTTCCCATCAAATATTTTGTCGTTTTTACCCGCAAGCGTTCTCGTGTAAACAGGTCCTTAGAGGTTGGTGCTCCCCCTTCTGTCAGCAATGGAAATGAACATGGCACACTAAACAAATTAAAAATGCTATGTTAACAGTGTCATGTGTTTGTTGTGAACGCACATGATGAGTTCAGTGATGTTCTATGGGCTTAAAGGTTACACAAGATCGACTATTACAGCGTTGTCACCTCCTCAAAAACATACCTGGAGGTGAAAAAATGAGCGATATTGGAGTGCTGTACTGGATCCAAACTCACAAACACAGGTGCTCATCAGACCAGGAGGCTTGAATTCTTGCAGAGATAAAAGAGGATGGCAGAGGCACAGTGTTTATTTGTGGTCACGCCAACGGGTTTTGACTACTTATGAGTCTATCAGGGCTGATAGAATAAGCAGCATGTGTGACCCTGTTTATGGGACCCCTATAAATAGAATATTGTATGAATACAGACCATGAAAGTGGGGCCTTCTGACTTTTAGAGTTTTAAGCAGGAGGTGTCAGAAAAGTTGCCACAGGGATAAGCGGCTTGTGGCAGCCAAGCGTTCATAGTGACGTCACAGCATTAGGACGACGGTAGACTAGTATTTTTTTTTATTTAACCGATCGCTGCTATTTGGTTGTGACGTATGTATTGCACCAAATCCTGTAGGAAGAAGGGCAATAACGTCTTTCCTTTTGATAAAATTCACCAAACATTATCTTTGTTAGAGCTTTAAATCCTCAATCTTGGGAATCGTTGCCAACACAGAAAGTATGGCTTTGTTTACATCCATCTCGACCACTTTGTTTACTGTTGTGCTGTACCACAAAAGGGACCCAGTCATGGCTTCAGAGCTCTTTGCTGATTGGCCGGTGTGCGATCTACAACTTCTGGGGTTCTTACAAACCGTCTAGTGTATTCCGAATCCTGACCTAGTCACTGGAGAGAAATAAAATTGAGTGGAGACACTAGGTGGGCCAGCCTGGTTACACTGGATTTCCCCAGATTTCTCCAGTAGGACATGAAATAAACAAAATCTGAAATATACTCACTACTTCATTTTTATCAATGAGTTTTTGATCCTTCGATGTTGGCTCTTTCTATCATTGTGAAGCAGAATTCTCAAAGTGTTGGATTCTTGGTGAATTTGGTCAAACCCTATAAATAAGGTGTGACCAAATTATCAAACAAACAACAAAACAAATTGTCCATATACATTATAAATGTTGATTTCCAGTATTCTGCTCCAACACAACAAATAAGAAGCACTGTTTTGTATAGGTAGGAGTATAGTCAACAATACATATTTCCCTCAGGTTACACAGCACACTTCATGAATATTTATTTAGAAAGCAGCAGACATTTTGTAAGAAGTGTTTATCAAAAATACACGGGTATTTGATGACTAATTGTTAAGAGGGGGCTTCTTGTCTCCTCTTAACAATTGGCAACAACCTAATATAGAGACATAATATACTGGGGGGGGGGTGTCTTTATTGAGACCAGGGTGGACCGTAGCCCTCAAAGTATAAATCCAGAATGTTTCTCTTTGGAGAAGATGTTTTAAACGCTTTCCTCCACGAGGGTCTTGAGGGATGACCTCTGTCACCATCACCCCTGAGAGAGTTAGAGCTACTGTGCCAACCGCTTTATAATGTTTTAGCATCGGATAAAGTATGTTGTTAATTTTAATGGCATATTTATGTTCAGCCAGTCTCTCTCACAGCCACACTCTCTCTCAAAACAGCCACACTTGAATTTGAGCCTGTATACAGTTTAAGTTTAACTCTGATATGTGTAAATCTTATTGCTTAAAGGGTCTATCTCATGCAAAATCTAAAAGCTTTCTACTTCTAAGAGTGATGTGTGAGCCTTGTATATGTAGCCAAAGTGGTTTTTAGATTGATTCAGTGTTTTTTTTTAACAAATTGCAGCATATTTCTGACACCCTCCCACGTGACAATGAGCTAAAGCTGCTACAACGCTGACGCGCCAGATACACCAATGATGCGTTTGACGTAGCAGAAAGTACTTCGCACCTGCCCCCCTCCCCGCTCCACCGCCTCCGCCCCGCCTCCACCCCACATCGGCTGACAATTCCCACATAAACACCTAAACAAAAGCGACAACATAAGCTAATTGTTCTACACTGCATTGTACACGACATAATAAGTTTATCTACTAGTGTTTATTAATACTTTACCAATCAGTAATGTTCAGCTGACGCGGTGCTTGAGCTTCGTGCACCTC